GGCTCTGGATGCCTTTGACATCCTGTGGCCTGTGCCTCTCCATAATGGCTCTCACTTTCTCCGGGTCTGGCCATAGTCCTTCTGAAGTCAGCAGATGATCAATGTAGGGTAGTTAGTTCTTCTCAGCTGTATTTTGTCGACATTCATTTAATGTTCCTCTCCCAGTATCTGTTAAAGAGTTGTTGCAGTTTGGCGTCACAGTCACGGCTCACCTCTTACTTATCATCCCCTTCGTCTATGACAAGAATATCATCAACCACAATTTTGATACCCGAAAGACCTGCCAGCTCCTGGTTCAGCTTCTGCTGGAAAACTTCCAGAGCTGGGCTGATCCCCATGGGCATCCTTAACCAGCGATACCTGCCAAAGGGCATACTAAAGGTTGTCAGGTGGCTGGATGATTCATCTAGCTCCACATGCCAAAATCCATTCTTGACATCGCAAACTGTGAACGCTTTTGCCCTAGACAGGTCAGGTAGTACATCCTCAATCATTGGCAGTGGGTAGTGGCTTTGTTTGAGTGCCGTGTTAAGTGGTTTCGGATCAATGCAGATTCTCAGCTTGCCTGACGGCTTCCTTACTAACTACTAGGCTGCTGATCCAGTCAGTGCTTTTTTCAACTGGTGCGATGATGCCTTTTTTCTGTAGGTTTGTCAATTCTTTCTTCAGTGGCTCCAGCAGGGCTAGTGGAACTCTGGGAGTCATACTGGTTGCACCTGTGGATCGCTTTCTAACTTCGGTTTGCCTTCAAAGAGTCCAGTGCCATGAAATATGTCTGCATATCTTAACAGAATGTTAGGTAGTGAACCTAATGACCGTTCTTGCTCTTCTGTGACCTGGAGGATGTTGTGGTGTTGCACTGTAATTAAATCCATGGCCTATGCTGCCCAGCTACCCAGCAGTGGATGGGTGTCCACCCTGTCAATCGCTATAAATTCCAGGCAGTACTGTTTCTTGTTGCGTGGATTTATTATAGCCACTCGGCACTTTCCCAGTGGCCTCACAGTTGCTTTGTTATATATCAACAGCACTTGGTGACATTTTTCCATTCTGATGCTGCTTCTCAACAGATTCACAGGAAGGACGTTGCAAATGGCTCCACAATCCACCTGGAATCTTATAGGTCTTTGCTCTAGCATCATTGTTGCAAATATGGCTGAGTTGTTTCCTGTTTTTTTCTGTAATGTGTGTATCCTGTGACTCTGTGAATCTGTCAAATTTACACTGAAAGCTTCCTCCTCATTTGTAGTCTCCTGATCCCTCATCACTGAGTGGACTGGGGTTTTTTTCTCTTTGGGTGGCTATGACACTGACCCCCTAAACTGATTCTGTTTTCCATATATTTTGCACTCTTTTCCATAGGCTGGGCATCTTCCTGCCACCTTCCATGTAGCTTTCCACAGTACATGCACTGAATCATGTTGTCGGTGTTTGCAGTTGGCCTGTCAGGTTCCTGCTTTCCAGAGTCCTTTAGGTTGAGCCTTTGAACCTGCTCTGTACACATGGCCGTTGATATCATTTTGATTCTGTGTTTAGACAATTCTGCTGCCCTTGCAATTTGGTGACATTTTTCCAGGGTTAGATCTACCTCTCTTAGTAGTCTCTCCCTCAGGGCAGAGTCCTGTGCACCATACACAATCTTATCCTTGATTATGGAGTCTTTTATGTCTCCAGAGTTACATGAGGATGACAGAGTTTTCAGTGCTGTGATATAGGCCTCTATTCCTTCCTCTTCCTCTTGGTTTCGGGTGAAAAACTGATATCTTTCTACAGTCTCATTTTTCCTGGGGTCACAGTATGCATCAAACACTTCTATTAACTGTTCTAGTGTGTGCAGGTTCCCTGGCATCAGTGTCACACTTACTTCATGGCCTTTTCCCCCACTAGATGGTAAACCAGCTTTACCTTCATTTTCTCTTCTTTATCAGCCATGGTTAACTCTGTATACAAACCGAATTCTTGCTTCCATTGTGTCCATCTCTTTGTGTTGAAATCCAGCTGTCCTGGGGGCTTCAGACCCTCCATGCTTCTCGCAATCTGTTTGAATCACAGCTGGGGCCCAGGTCTCTCTCTTCTCTTGGGCTTCCTCAGAGACTTTCTGCTGCCACCATGTTTCATGTGACCCTGTGTGGGTAATCAAGGAACAGCCCCCTACTTAATATAAACAGTGTCTTTATTATAGCAGTTTCTTTCAGAGCTGTTACAGGGCTGCTGTTCTCCCCCAGCCTCTCTAACTCTCTTGTTTTTCCTGTCTCCTCCCCCTCACGTCCTGTTCCTCCTTCCGACTCCTCCTTTCTGCTGCTGCTGCTTTTGCCTCTGAGATCCATGCATATGGTTACAGTGGGGATGCTTTAACTAAAGCAGGGATTTTAAATGTGGGGATGCTGAATACACCAAGGCTAATGGAGTGTGCTAATTAGAACGCTTCAGCAAACTCAATTAATCGTCAGTATTCACATCAGAGTAGGCATCAGGCACATGTGTAGGTGATTTTGTGTCTGCTGGGTACAGAACTTGAGAGTAGGGACTTCCAATTCTTTTCTCTCCTTTGCTCTATTCCAGTTCCCTTCTAGAAACTAGGTGCCAAATGCTATGTGCCTGCGTACATGGTTCCACATGATGTGAGAAGGGTGAGGGAAGATATGGCAGACAATTCCCAGCATGGCAGTTCTGTTACTCTCTCTACAATCTATGGAGTTAGGTAGCAGTTCAGTGCATTTATTCTCTGTACTGGGGAGCTGTACCTGAAAACCTGCACGTCAAATCACTTCTGTTGCTCTACTCACAACTCTCTACTTCGTTCCACTACGGAGAAAAGCAGTGCAAAGTTTTTCAGTTTGCCCCACCTAGGAAATGAAATATCCCCATGAGTGACTTCTCAGTGGCCAATGTTTTTCAGTAGAACTACTGCACCTGTTCCGAGCCTTCTGCTTCTGAAAAGCAAAGGTTTTGGCTCATAAGCTGGAAAAGTGTGGTGACAAACAGGAGATTTTTCACTTGATAATTACCTTTCCGCACACAGCCTCTCTCACAGTGAGCTGTTGCTCACAAAAGCTTAAGCACCTCTGATTCAGTTAGCACTTTTACCTTGCCTTCAGTTCTGTCATATATAGGATGTTGCCTTCCTCTCTGGATTTCTGGAGGGAGTTCAGTGTTGCAGCCTATCACATATACTTTCCAGCTTTCACCATAAGTTATTGAAGAAGTGGGATATTCTAGGATATTAAACTCAAGCCACACACAATGTTTTCTTGTGATAGTGATCTCTAAAAGGTCCTCCCAGCCTCTGTTTTTTTCAGCCTGATTCACAGCTCCATGCATGGGCAACTGGTGCCGCCTTAGTCGGGGGGGGCACATGCCCCCCCAGCATGCAGTCAGCAAGTGGGGTGGTCCCCCCACAGTGCTCCCACCTGCCTCCCCCCCTGCACCCATCACCTAAGCGGTGAGCGTGGCTGGTCAGGGGGTACACTGGCACTCTCAAGGGGCGCACCCCCTACGTGTCACCACTGGCTCCATGGTTTCCTTCAATACTTCTGAACTCTTTTCTTTGGTCCTTCTGTAATGAGAACGATGAAAGGAATATTTCTGCCTATTCTTGGGGTTGTAGTCCCTTCCCACAGCACCATGCAGAGAAGAGAGGGACTAGGACTACTTAACTTTGGAAGCACTGTCTGCCACTACCACTGCATAACATTCCTCTGAACAGGGAGACTGTGAATCTAGGTGAGCACAGGTTTGCTTGAAGTGAACATTCACAGTCCAGTGGCCTAAATACAGGTGCCACCTCGTGCTGAACCGGAGACCATGATGCTTGCTGAGACTGTCATTGCCTCCAGTGAGGCATCCATGATGAAAATAGTTGCTATGGGTATTTTTCATGAGGATAGACTTAAAGTAAACCTGGCCCCTGTCATCCCAGCTTTTAGTTTGCACAGCCTGGACACTGTGGTTTTGCAAAGGAGGTAGTGACAAACAATGCTCTGAGAACAGCCAGGGAAGCCCCCAAAATGCCTTCCAGGGGTCACCTCCACCTTTCTGCCAGTTATCAATTTGAGAAAGCAATCACTTTCTGATGTAGTCATATGCCAGCTCTTCCATTTGATATTTCTGTTATGGCATACTTTGGCTCTTGCATCTAATATATGGCTTTTGCATGCCAGTTTGTAGGTCTTCCTCACTAGGATAATCCCATTCATCCCTCATAACACCCTCAAAGGAAGAATCAGCAAAACAGCCATCTCAGAGCTGGACTTGGGAAGCAGGTATTTGCCCTTAGGCTCCCAAATTAATAATTTCTTTGGTCAGATCTGGGTGGTAGAATCATTTGTCTGGACTTGGTAACACATTTGCCACTGGGAAATAAAATTTGCTGTCTTGTAATTCTTGTTCTGCTCTGAGCTTGAATCAGAAAATTCTCCTACTTTGTGTGAGGATGTGGAGCCAGAATCTGAAACTGAAATTTTCTCTGAACTTTTATATTTTTATTTCCCTTTTTTGTACTTTTTGTGATTCTTTTTAAGTCTGCTGTTGACACCATGCCAGGAAGAGCAGGGTGAAAGTGAGTGCAAGTGAGAGCATAATTCTATAGGCCAGTGAGGCGAACACTCCCCTGGGAGTAGGGGAATCCTGGGTTCTGGCCCCTGCTCCCAGGGCCCGTTTAATATAAAGTATGTAAACACCACTTAGGGACAGAGGCCAGAACTCTTGACTTTCCATTCTCAGGGAATTGTCCAAATCTCTGGGCTACAGTATCAAGTTCCCTCTTTTGTCTCCCACTAGATGAATCTTGAATTCATTGCTGCATAGTGTCTTAGCTTCAGATAAGGGGTAGAGAGTGGTCGCACTACCACCCATATATCTGTAAAATGGAGTCAGTGTTATCTCTTGCATCACATGGCTACTGGGAAAGCCAATTATTTCATGTTTATTAGGATAGTGTAAGAGTGATGTCATAGCTGGGATGGTCCAAACATTAGGCAAGAAGCAAGGATTTCTTAGGATGATATCTTTTATTGGGCCAACTATGAAGTTGGGATAAAGTTGGACAAGCTATTGAACGCAAGACATCTTCATCAAGTCTCATCACAGAAAGCCAGGTACAGCAGAGGGAAGGGACTGGGAGAAATCTCAAGGATAGCAGACACACAATTAACAGAAGAAATGAAGCTGATTACTGGGAGATCAAGTGCTATAAAAATGGAGGAGGGTCATTCTTACTTTCCCTGTGTAGAAGAATTCAGGAGTTGGATAAATTATAATGTGCCATAAACCCAATATCAGCGTTTAGTCCTTGGTTCTTACTGTCCAGCCAGCTTACGAATTTTTGTTTCCAAGTTCACCATTTAAAGATATTAGGTAGATTTCCCTTGAGCACAAGACTAATGAGGTCAGAGAGGGAGTGGTTGTTATGTGAGGTATGTGCTCCTTATGGTATGTATGTCTCCATCCTTTATATTTTTTTCTGTGCGTGTTCATTCCGGTGCATAGTTGCTGTTTAGTTTCACCTACATAGTTGCCATGAGGGCACTTGGTGCACTGGATCAGATGTATCATGTTTTGGGAATGGCATGTGTAGGAACCATGGTTTCTGATGGGTTTCTGGTGGAGGGGTTTTGATAGTAGTGGCAGTGGAAGTGTGCTGACAAGTTAAGTATTCCTTGCCAAGACAAGGCTGTGCTTCACTTGATGTCTGTTGGGCAATGGGGAGTTTGCTTCTGATGATGAGTAGGGCAAGGTTAGGGGGCTACTTCAAAGCCATGAACGGAGGAGCTGGGAATACTTCTCCCAAGGTCTGATCTTTGTTGCATGTAGGATGTTTTTTCTGATGGTTCTTCCGATATGTTCCAGTGTGGGTTGGTAGGGGACCACCAGGGATGTGCAGTTGCAGGAAGTTTTCTTTTTGTACTGTAGCAGGTTACTACAGCATATTTGGATAGCTCTTTCAAATGTGCCATCTATTTGCCTAATAGAGTATCCCTGTTGTATGTATAAAGGCAGATTTTAGACTGGTCAGGTGGGCATCAAGAATGTTCTCAGAAAAGTTGAGGTGGTATATGAGGACCCAGCTGCAGAAAACAGCTTTTTTGGTGTGCTTGGGATGATTGCTGATCTTGTGGACATAGGTATGGTGATCTGTGGGTTTTCTGTATGTAGTGATTTTTAGGATGTCATCCTGAATACGGACTGTGGTATCTAGAACATCAACAAAAGTGTAGGAGTAAGTCCAGAGAAAGTTTGATCAGGGGGTTATACTAGTTAAACTTGTGGTGGAAGTCAGTAAATGAGTCCAGGTATTCAGTCCAGATAATGAAAATATCATCTTTGTGATGTATAATGCAGGTTTGATGGTGCAGTTTTCTAGAAATTACGAAATAGTAATCAAACCAGTGAACAAAGGTGGAGCTATAGTTGTCCTCAACTGTCAAGACTACATCAGTGAAGCTGACAGACAACTCACTAACACAAAATACCATAAAGAATTTGGGGAGGACCTTACACCAAAACATGCCAGCCTCTTCATAAGCCACCTAGAGGAAAAATGTCTAGAAAACTGCACATTAAACCTGCACTATACCTACATTACATAGATGATATTTGCTTTTCTTTGATTTAACTGCAGCTGGTTTTTGTTTGCTCATTTTGCCCTGTGTGTTGCAGTTCTAAGTCAGCCTGGTACCTTGTTCCATCTCATTTTTTTTACTACTCACAAACCTTTCAGAATTGTACATGCTTGTACATGTAATGTTGGTTCTGTATGTGCTTCTGTTAGTTGAAACTGTTTTGAGTGGATTGCCTGCATTTCTGCTTGGTAAAAACATGTAGGTCCAGTCTAACTTACAAATAGAAGTGAGGCAAGGTACATTGTTATATCACAGTGATCTCCTCCCCTTAAAAACTATTGTGTAGTCAGAAAATATCTGTACCTATACTATGGCAAACAGCAAGTTTTCAAGTTCATGTATCAGGCTCCAAAATTCATAAGCCTTTCTTTAAAATGCCAACATTTGAAAATAAATTGATTTGGTTCTGATTGTAGTTGCCTCCTAGTTTTAAAGCCCCTTGGGTTTATGTTTCCAAGTTTCTCTTTGCGACCGTGAACTTTCAAGATGTGCTGTTTTTAAATGAAAGCTGAGATTCTGGTATAACAACATAACTCAAGGAACTGGAAATAAGAGGGGAAAGAAAGAACCAAACAAATGTTATGAGACTCCCAATAAAATTATTCGAGTTGGCAATTCTACCCTGCTTAAAAGCCAGGGCTGTCAGGACTTTTTACCAGTTTCTGGGATACAGTTGGGTTCAAATTATTTTATACAGTATTTAGTGTGCTGAAAGCTTACTGCTTGTGTCCATCAGGATTACTTTGGGATAGCCTTCTGGAGTAATATCCGTCATTAAATACAGAAGTCCTCTCTCATGCTATTCTTTTCTTCCATAGGCTGATCCCTGTACATATACAAAATAGAGAGCAGGGTTTTAGGCTCACTGCCTCCCTCAAGGTGACTGTAAAGGTCTTCCCTGTCTTTAAGTAAAAATTTACAATCGAGAATGAATAGCTGAATGCTACATGGAAAGGCTTTCATATGTATTGAAATACCAACTTGAGCTAAAGTTAGGCAAGCTGAGGAGAGGATACCCCTGAAGTGTAACATTACACCTAGGAGGAATAAGAATAGAAACAAAACTTGAATAGACGGCAAACTAGGAAGATTTAAGAAGTTTGTTGGAAGCAACAAGGAACCAGAGACCAAATTTAGGTAGACATTTGAAAATAAATGGAAGAACGCAAGGTTAAACTCTGTATCCAATTTACTGGGACATTATTGTAATAAATTAAAACAGTTTAATTTGCTAACAATCCTTTTAGGTCCATATGATGAGGAGCAAGCAGAAAGTGTAATATGTCCCCTTGAGAAAGGGGGAGAGAGGTGGAATTTATTGTACACGTCAAAGCAAGGCTGAAGTACATCTCTTAAAGTTGATAATGCAGGGGTTAGATGGGACAGTAGCAAACTGCTGGAACATCAGCCTTACTTTCAGCCTTGGATTTTTCTATTGATGGTAGTTTCTTTCAAAGAAGCTTGAATGCTCTGTATTGCACAAAATATTTGGTTAGCTGGGAGGCAGTGAATCCATCCTCTCCAGAATAAAAAAGGACTGTCAGTCTGGTGGAAGCTCCAGGTCTGCAGGCATTCTCCCAATCCCTATGATGTTAAAGGACTAGAATATGGCAGTTAGCCACAGCCTTAGTGAGGCGCAGTGCTTGCCCTTTTGGGGCAGCACCAGACCTATTCTGTTTCAGAGGCACAACTCCAGAGCTCCCTGGTTGCACAGACAGCAGTGGAGGAAGTCATTTGCTACTGTCCTTTAAAAGTTGCTGCATACTTGGTTCCTGCACAACCAACTAGCTCCAGTGGTCAGCCTGCTCTGCCTCTGCCTCTTAACCGCTGTCTTTCAGGCGTGGCCAGATATGAACAACCTCTGCTCCTGCAGTTCTGACTGGCAACCAGGCAGTATAAATAGCTCAAAAAGTCTGGAAGACTTTGATGGGAGACAGAGATGTAGAAGTGAAAGGAGAGATATAAATGCTTAGAAATGACAATGATGAGCCCTCTGCAAAACCTGTAGGTAGATAGCAAGATAGCAGCTAATTGCATTTAGGGAATTGCCTTCCTGGTCATTAGAAACTAGAGAAAAGACAGGAAATTTCTTCAGGAAAAAAGGCCTGATAATAAGATGGGGAAGTAAGCATTCCTGACTGATAATCCCACTTGCCAGGGACTTGGAGTATGGTATTGAGCAAGACAGGGAAAGCCAGAGTTTTGCCACCCTTAATTATGCTGAGCAGTGTCTTGCTCCTTCGAAAGCCACATTTAAGCCTCATGGAATGATGTACTACCCGTGTGGTAAAAGGATAAGAGTAAGGACAAAAGACTTCATCTTCACACTTTGCTGTGCCTCTGTTTCCTCATCTGCAAATTGGGAACCCCCTTTCTTGCCTGCTTGAACATGTATTGCCAGGATTCATTAACAGGTGCCTGTAAAGAGCTCAGCATCAGCATCACATTTGCAGGGAGAGGTGAAGAATTTGGAGGGATCAGCATAGCAGAGCACTAATCTGAATGCCACTAAATAGGGCTGTAACATGCAATGACTAAGATGGCTGTTACAGTCCTGTATGCATTATATTTTGCTAGCAAGTGTTAAGGCCTTATCAAGTTGCAACTTCCTTCTCAGCCTGTTTGATGTCTCTGGCTTTACCTTGCCATGCTTAAGTAAACAAGACATCACCAAACTGCTATCCTTATTCTTGTCAAGGGGGTTACTGCCTTGGAAAAGACTCCATTGTATAACAAAAATCCCAAACCCTTCTACTTCAGACAAGATTCAAAACAAAAAATAATTGGATAAGGTTTGAGATGAGACCAAAGGAAAGATATTTTAAGATTAAAACTCTCCTGGCATTCTTTCCTCTCCTAATGCTGTTTTTACAACTTTCTGACCTTGTATCATTTTCTGATTCCAGTCGAGATGATGTTTACAAGAACCACTGTAACTTGACCTACTTATATTTTCTTGATCTAAGAATAGCACATTCTAGGCTTCTTGCCACCTGTCAGGACTGACAGCTGTTTGGGAGATCACTATCAGACACACTTTGAAGGGGGATTTTCCACTTAAGGAGATCTACAAGATGCCTTTTTCCTTTTTTAGGTTTCAGTTATTGATGGGAAAAATATATTCATTAAAAAGCATTTCTGACCTAAAAATGTCCTTATAAAAAATTCATTGAGGTTAGTACAAGAAAATGAGAGAGAAAGAGAGAGAGAGTAGAAGGGGAAGAAATCCTCTTCTCTTGCCTTCGCATTCTTAGATGCTGGGGACTCCTCTGAAAGATCGGCTACTTTGGAAACTTCTTCAGATTGCTGACTGCCCATATTTTCCATCTGGCTCTTCCTTTGCATACAAATCAGCCTCCTCGGTCAGGCAGAAGTGTATGTGTGTGTGAGCATGCGTGTGTGTGTGTGTGCGCGTGTGTGTGGGGGGGGGA